GTCCTTTTCAGCTGGCCGCGTGATTACTCATAGTTTCTTACCTCCTCCTCATGCAGTCTCCTCCATATCATCCTCAGACACATACCCAACCCGTCATTTCGCATTCAGCTTCCACCCCATAGAGAGCCTGGCGCTGTATGTCACTCTCTTCAGAGTGTGACCAATTCACCTCCAGTTCCTTCAGAATATTTTCTGAACCATAGATTCAGGATTTGTTGGTTCCCCTAGTTTCTCGTCGCTTACTCTTTCCGGCGATCTGAACCTCATTATGGAGTCAGTGAAGGCAGCTGTTGATAAAAGTCTGCAACCTGTTGTAAATGCTTTTTGTGACACGTGCTCCAAGTTTATGACCCATATAGGAGAATCAGCTAACCTAACACTGTTGTTGAAAATTCAAATCTTGTTCCTTATACTGAGTACAGCAGATTTCCAAACTAGTTTCAGGTTGATGAAGGCGTATCTCGACTTTCCCATTCTGGCTGGCTGGCTTTCACATCTTCATCCATTCCGACAGCCTGTGGTTGAAATGATTCTTCCTAGATGAGTGAAGGAGGTAACCCCATTTGATTCTCTTCTGTTGATGGTGGCTGGTGTTGACTGTTGCTGCTGTTGGTTGGTTATCTTCATCACCTCCATCTTCTCTATGTTCACCTGGAGTCCACTCCTCATTGCCTGCCTCTTCAGCAAGTTTGTTGGTTTCCGCCAGCAAGTCTTCAAGTTTGTGTGACATTAGACATATATCATCCTCTTGTGAAATTCAGGTATTCTAGATGGAATCTTCTTATCGGTGGTCCGACGTATTCCTATCTTCTCACTCCCTGTGCACAGTCTGATGCATAATCCAGTCCACCACAATAAGGAATGTCATCGGTGATGATAGGCAGGCAGCTTGTCTTACTCCTGTATTCAATTCAAACTCCCCGTTGAACTGTCCGTTGTGGAACACCTGATACCTGGTATTGTCATTTAGTTGTTGAATGAGGTTGACAAAGACTTGGACACTACATGCCGCACCGTTGAAGCAATCTCGAAATTACTTCTCGGTCAACACTGTCTGTTGAAAGCCCTTTTGAAGTTTATGAAGTTGAGGTAGAGAGGGGTTTGACTGCTATTTTATTCTTTGTTCGATGATGATGGATAGAGTTACAACTATATCAGCAAATGACTTGCCTTTCCTGAATCCACCCTGTTAGCGGTGACGGTGGATTTGTGCATCCAGTGCTTCTTTTATTCTCTCCAGGATGATGTGACTTGGTATTTTACTTGGCGTAGACAAGAGCATTATTCCACGCTAGTTTTTCAGAGTGAGGCGCGAATCACTCTTTTCTGGTAGCTTGACAAGGTAGCGAGCGTTTCCTCCAATCTGTAGGCACCTTTCCTTCCTTCCAAACTTTTTGCAGCATTGGCGTGAAGACATCTGACACATTTTCTTGGTTCTTTTTTTTTATTTTATTTTTTATTTTGATTTACAGCTTGATTCCACACCGTATTTTCAGTACAAGTATGGAATTTTCAGCATGGATATCGGTAGCCCAAATTCAGGCCGACCATAGATATCGGGTGTGCGCCGGCAGGGGATCGAACCTCGGACCATGTGCATGGTCGGCGAGAGTCCTAACCACTGTGCCACCCAGTGCTTCTGGGTAGAGGAATTCCGTCTGGCCCTGCTGCATTCCCAGCCAGTGTTCAGTGGTTTGATCGCATTCAAGATTTCTGCTTTCGTGCGTGCCTTCAGTGGTGGTATTTCTGGGCAAGTTGCAGGCGACGATGGTCGATTCAAGAGTCCTTCAAAGTGATCAGTCCATTCATTGTTTTATTTACTTCTCCTCCTTGGTAATCAGGTTCCCTTGAACATCTTATATTGATTTCATCGTCTGGGTTGATCTCTTCCCGGATAGAGACCTGATATAATGTTCTGAGATTTCTTTTACCTGTGGCCTGCCTGTTCTGCTGCAGTTGCCAGCCATTGTATCGTAGAATTGTCTTTTGTCTTTCCTGGCATTCTTCTTCACTACTTTGTTCAATGCAGTACACATTGAACTCAGCTTCTTTTACTGTTGTCCATCTTTGCATTGATTCATCTTCTCTTTCACCATCCTCTTCTCCTCTCTTCTATTAGCTTCCAGGTATCCATTGAGAGCCATTCCTTGTCTCGTCTCTTCCTTCTTCCTAGAACAGTTGTACATATTTCATTGAACATCACCTTCAGAGAGTTAGTTCCAATGTTCTTCCACGCAGGTTTCCTCACTGATAACATTTATTGTCTCTGACTTTGCTCTGATCTGATCTGTGGTGAAGGCATCCCTTGTAGTTTTGTCCTTCAGTTTCTGAATGTTCGACTTGAACTGTGGCCTGTCTCCAGTTGTTCTGAAGGATTTCAACCCCACCTTGAATGCTCTTGAACTAGATGATGTTATGAGTCCACAACTGCTCCCCTTCTCGACTTTGTGTCTAGCAGACTGGCTGTCTTCACTCCCTTGAGCAGCATTGAGATGAAGTCTATCTGGTTTGTGGTGTGTCCGTCAGGTGAAGTCCATGTGGCTTTGTGCATATCCTTTTGCTTGTACACGCTATCTCCGATCACCAAATCATTGAAGGTGCAGATATCTGCAAAGAGTTCTGCGTTGTCATTCATTTTGCCCAGACCCTCTCAACCCATGATGAGTTCTCTTCCTGTATTATCTGCTCCCAGTTTGGCTAGTATTCATATCGCCCATAAGGGTTTTGATGTCGTCATGTAGGATGTTGTCCATTACTGTTTGCAGTTGTCTGTAAAAATCCTCCTTCATCTCTTGTTCTGCGTTGTTTGTAGCACTGAGCGTAGCATCTGATAATAGTGACCTCTACTTCTTCCTTTTGAGTTGAATCTTTCTGTCATAATCCTGTATGAAGAGATTGTTCCCATTGCATTAGGGTTTTGGCTGCCACTGGTGACATCATGATAGCCACTCACTCACTCAAAGTGCTCGTGGTTGTCGTCTGGGTGACCAGACCGGAGTAGACTACTGGCTCTCCAGCTGATAATTTTGATAGTCCACATCCATTCCATCTGCTCTCGCAAATTGCCAGCACTTCTGTGCCATATCTTCGTGTTTCTTTGGCTACCTGGGCAGCCTTCCCAGCCAGCCTCGTACATTGTACAGACATTCCATGTCCCTATTCTTATTCTTGCTTTTATCAAGAGTTGACACATTGGCTGACAGGTTTTATGAAGGCTGCCTTTCACCAGCCCACTGTCTCATTTCGTCTCTCCAATTTGTGCGAAGAATAAGATTGTTATTGAAATATTTTGTATTTTTAATATATTTTTTGTGCGCTGAAGTTTCCCTAGCAGTTTGACAGCTTTTGTAGTGTAGGGTGGGTAGCCCCAATCCCAACCCTCCCTGTTTACCCGGGCTTGGGACAAGCTAGTTAATTAGGCGAGGTTAGCAGAACATAGTGCTTCACCCTATTCTCTGCAGTCCCTTTAAGCCAACCCAATGACTGCCTATAAGCTTTCATTACCTCCTCATACAATCCTTGACATGTCTGCCACAGACGCATGTTCAACTCATCATTTCTTGATCACTTTCCACTCGAGGACCTGGTGTGTGATATCACCCAGTGGTATAATCAACGTGTCGCTGATCCACCTCTCACTCCTTCTACTCATCTGTTGGGCGATAGTTTCTTGGTTGGTTTATTCCCTGAGTTGCTTGTTGGAAATCCTTTCTGGCCAGCGACCTGAATGACCTTCAGTATGGAAAGAAGAAATTGAAGGATGGAAATCTTCAGCAATTTGGTGCAAATTTTTTGTGATGCACTCACCGAGTCTGTTAACCGTTTGGAAGCGCTGACTTATCATTTGCTGTGAAAATTCAGATCTTGTTTCTCTATAATGAGTGCTGATTTGAGATTATTAAAGGTTTACTCTGCAATTTCGATCCCAACTTGCTTTAACATTATCATTCGTGCTACCTATCGTTGAAAAAGTGCTGCCCAGATAAGTGAAGGTAAGGGTTTCCTTTTAGATTGATGATTGATGCTTGTTGTTATTGGCAATCAGATATCTTGAACTTCTGTCTTCTGTGCTGCTTCTTCTGTTAAATAGTTGTTTTTCCCCTGAAGAACTCCAAGTTTGTGTGACATTAGACATGAATCATCCGTGAAGTCCACATGTCCCAGAGTCATTTTGTCAGTTCAACATATACCCATCCTCTCTTAACCGACACATAATCTGTTGCATGATTTGGTCCACCACAGTTAGGCATATCATCGCTGATTTTCGGCAGTCATGTTTTACTCCTCAAGATCGTAGCAAATTTTCGAACACACGAAGTTCATCTGCATTTATATTATGAGAGCTCTCCTTACTTAATCAGTGACATAAGCAGTTAAACCAGCTTTTCCAATATCAATTTATAACTGTCCTCACTGAGTAACTGACTGTTTACACGCTTGCTCAAAAAAGAATCTATGTCGTGCTATGTCGTGAATTGGCAGAAGTTAGAATTCAAGAACCATTGGACCGGGTCCCAGTGACTCAATGGTCTACGAGCTCGCCTTGTAACCAGAAGGTGGGTACGTACTGATGAAGAGTCCCGAACTAGGACGAAACAGCTGTCCAGTACTCCCACGTTTTCCAGTGGTTCTCTAACTGATGTCGTCTCATGATGAAATCCTCCATGCAATCAAACAAAATCCCCCCCAAAAACCAATACTTGAAGAATCTATTTGTTAACAAAATTAAATGAAACTATTTTAGGTATTTTAGTCTTCTACAATAATTGATACAATAACAAGCCAATTTTGAAGTGATCATTGATTTTAAACTTAAACTGGATTCTTGAACCAAGATTTTCTTAGATTAGTCTAATAAATAATGATTTTTTTTCTAAAAAATTAATGAATCTGTGAAATTAGGATAATAGCTGAAAATAAAAAAAGCAATTTGTGCACAATTTGTGCACAAACACTTTTAATTACCCTTCACTTTCTCTTCTATTTCTTCAATACAACAGGTCATAATTTCGACGATTGTCTCCTACTTTCTTGATCTAAATGGTAAATACAAAGTGGCAATCATTGGAAAAGTATCCAAGGGGTAAAGTGCCTTGCCTTTTGTTTTCTCCTTCTTGTATTTTGTCAATTGATGTTTGTAATTAACTGTACAATGCATATAAGTCCATATATATTGATATTTCCTAAAGGTATTTGTAGGGGACTTAATAGTGACCTCGGTAAGGGTACAAATATTAGCATAAAATTCCAAGTTAATGAAATGATATTGTAACATTCACTGCTGGAGTTGTATCTACTAGTAGAAGCTGTGCACCGGCTGCAGAATAGTTTTCGGATGAGGATGAGAAGTTCCTGCAAAATCTAAAGGATACAACAAGGTTGGTAGTGGAGCAAGGAGACAGTTTGGATCAGTGAGAAGACGAAGCGTCTAGCAGCACACTGTACTTTAGACTGTACCCCTAAGTTATGTATATTTTACGATGAATCTTTTTGAACAAACGTTACGTACAATGTTTCCAGTTTAACATCTAACAAAAGACCAATACTTGAATATCAATGAGATGCTCACTAGCGACTGACCCTATTCAGGTGGGTGCCTCGGGTTCTAGTTGGAAGTCATAACCAGTAGAGTATAGCAGGTTTGGCGTGAGGACAAATATTTGCCGCCGATGACACTGGCTAGTGGTCACACTATGTTGTGAATTAGCAGAAGTTGGAATTCATGGGCAGGCTATTGGATTGGATCCCAGTTGCTTAATGGCCTACGAGCTAGCTCGCCTTGTAACCAGAAGGTCCTGGGTTCAAACCCTGGCGGGTGCATATTGATGAAGAGTCCCAAACTAGGAGGACAAAACAGCTGTCCGGCAGTACTCCCAGCTGGTTTTTGAATGGTTCTCTAACCGATGTCAACTCATGATGAAATCGTGTAACCAGTCAATCAAATCCCTACAAACCAACACTTAAAAAAAATTAGCAATCGTATTGTTCTAGACTCCACATATTAATTAAGTTCCACTGTTTAACAAACTATATGATGTGAGGTAGGATGGAATTTGACACAGTTTACCGCTTCACTTAAATGATTTGTGGTGTCGTTGTTCCCCCTAAAATTGAAAACCTGATGTGGTTTTCAATAGTTTTACCTTCCAGCAGCTTATCAACTCTGGATACAAGGCACCCTCGCATGATTGCTTCACGGTACTACAAAAATATCGCAGTAGCACACAAACGGCTTCAAATATGGCATTTATTTATGGCCGAATCACTGGTTATTCATGAGGTGTAAACTGACCTTTGGATTCAAAAGCATTACATACACTCATGTGCCTTAGCTTGCTCAGAATAACATTTTTGTCATCGTTTTTGCCGTTGGATGTCTTGGTTTATTATTGTCACTGGTATCACTTGCTAATAACATCGCATATCGCATACATATTTAATGTAAACACTTTACTGATTTCTACTTGTACATTCCCTTCTGGATTATACCTCACACTAAGTTATACATTTTTAAACATACAGTTACCAGTATTTGGTTGGATTTATAAATGCTGTGTAAAATCCAAATACATCTGTAAAGCTCTTGAAAATGATTCGTTGATAAGAAAATTTTCTTAGCTATTCATTGACTAGATGTTATTATTTTTATAATAAAAGCCTTAACAAATGTTTTATGAATTAAAAAGTAATCTTATACTAGTAAAAATAATGCGGAAGTACGATAGTCACTATAACGTGTAGTTTCTTACAGTGTGTCTTCAGTAACATGCTCAGTTGAATTTCATTTTCTACATTGTATTGAGGCATTGTGACGATAGTAACATTCCGAACTCATGCAGCCAGGTGAAGGCTTACGGCGAGCTGTCATCTGAACTGGTGACTACTACTAACGGTGTCCGACAGGGATACCAGCCCATTATCCCCATTTCTATTCATTTTCATCATAGATGTACTAATGGACTTAAGCGTAAATGACTGACTTCAGTGACTCAGGGATGTACTTGGTACTACCAGGGAATAATCTCGTTTACTTAGAATATGCGGATGATATTGTCCTCCCTCCTGGTTGAAGGCACTGACCGATGAAATGCAGAGTCTTTCGAACACCTTGATGGGCACCAATCTTCGAATGTTTGGCATGCGATTTGCTCCTGTGAAATGTAAGGTGGTGCGATGCTGCAGGAATGGAATGAACTACATTGATTCCTAGCCTAGAGATAGGGAGTGAAGTGGTAGAGCACGTTGACCGCTTAATTTATTTGGCAAGTAGCATCAGCCCCAACGGGTTGATCTCTGACGAAATTTCAGAACGGATACAGAAGGCTCGTTCCGCATATGCCAGTTTACTCCGTCTCTGGTGTAAACATGGATATGGAAGATATGAAAAGACTAACTGTCTTCGATCAAAGGTGTCTGAGTTCTATCTCCCTCCCATGTGAAGTGGCATAATAGGGTGAACAATATTGAGGTTAGGCGTCGAGTGCTAGGGGAAATCAATCAACGAGGCTGTGAAGATACACCGACTGAGATGGTTAAGACACATGTTACACATACATTTCTAGCCGTCGCCTTCCTCGATGGGCAATGTTAGCTGACACGGGGTCAGACTGGAAAAGAGCTAGTGGCGGTCAGACGAAAACATTGCATCAGTCAATGAAATCTACAACAGTTAGTCTAAGCCACGTAGGTAGGTGTAGACTTCCCGGTTGGGGTCCTCGGGACGGTACAAACCAGTGGCTGGAAACAATCGGTGATATGGCTCAAAATCGTTCTCAATGCCTGGCGCAGGTGCATCCGCTCCTTGTGACTTATAATTTCCAATGAAACTATATTGTTCTTCGTTATTACTATTCTTTTGTCTCATATCCCTGTCTACTGTCTCTACTATGCACTTCTTGTACTTTCTTCTCTTGATTTGTGTGCTACATGGAGTGTGGCGACTTGAACTGCTGTACATTTGTGCAACACTCTATGTCAAAAACAGGCAGACAACATTTCATTTAGTGCAGATACATAGAAGACTGTGAATTACACATAGTCTACTAACACAGACAGATACAGAAGTGAATACCTGGCTGATTATTTGATGGGAATGAGGACACTGTATTGTTATTTTATTTCGTAGAGAAACCCACCAGTAACGCATACAGATGAGATATTCACAGACCTGTAAACTATAAGCCTGGGTAACCGCAATCAGGATACATAAAGTGAGCGTAAAATATACATATTCTTTATTGATATGTCACAATTTTGAACACGGAGTGATATCAGTTAGAGAATCATTGAGAACGAGGGAGTACTGGATAGCTGTTACGTCCTAATTTAAGACCTTTCAACATGCACTCATGATCCTACCAAGGATCAAACACAGGGTTTTCAGATTACATAGGGAGATCGTTGAACATTAAGCCACTGGGAAGGAATCCAGTGGCCCATGGATTCTAACTTCTGTCATTCTGCAATTTTAGCACAAAATCTGATATCATTTACAGCTAGATAATCTTAATCTACTGAAAAATTATATGAGTAGTGTCCTGCTGATTGAATTATGGGATATTTTAAAATTTGTGAATAATGACTTTTTCTAATGAGCTTATTATTCACTGTGACAAAAACTGATGGAAATTGTAATATTTCGGCAAAACAGACTTTTTTCACGACTAAGAAACCCTCTGTAGGCGCTATGTGATATGCACTGAAGAAATGCGGACAAAACGACTATCATTTTTTTAAATGAAAATACAAAAAGTTATGAGAAATGTAGTCATAGAATAGTAGATTATGTCATTATGATTAATGCTATATTTGGCAAATTTAATCCGATTAATTTAAGTTCTGTTACTCAACTAAAATATTGTCCAAAACTCTTCATTTATTTCAGGATAGAACATCCAAAAATACCGAATATTTCACTGATGGGTGCATATATTGGTGATAGTTTTATAACAGCGGTGATTGCCATGTCAGTCAGCATATCTCTATCAAGAATATTCGCTACACGCTTCCACTACAAAATAAATACAAATAAGGTGAGAGAGAGAAAAAGTTTAATTTTAGAAATTATTAAACTATCGTATTTATTATTATGATGATGATTGTTCCCTTGGGTTCCTAGTGGAACATAGGGCTTTAACTACACGTCTCCACTTGCTTCTATCTTCTGCTGTACTTTTCACCTGCATCCATGTTAATCTATACTGTTTCAATTTTCTCTTCACATGACCTCCTCCATGTCACCCTTGGACGTCCCTCTCGAGTACCACTCGAGGGCCTCACGCGCGATGTCACCCAGCGGCCTCCTCAGCGAGTGTCCAATCTATCTCCACTTCCTCCTCGTATTTATGTTAAAGTCAATTTTTATTTTTCCCTTTGAGTGATTTAACCGAATGTTTCAGTTTCTGTCGACATGCAGGCTCCCAGTACGATTGTTTGATGACGGTGTATAAGAATTACCGTAGAGGTTATTTGATGGATGGTGACTAACAGTGGAATACAAGGTGCTCATTTCATGCTTCTTGAGACCCGTCAGCTGGGTCTACCTGCATTCCCCAGAGAGTGGTGATGTTCCAAGTGAGACTCTAGCCGAGTGCTCTTCATTTCAAACGCTACAGCAATATCCACTAGATCACATAAGAAATGAGAACCACCTCTTTTTTGTCGAAGGGTTTGCACTATGAGCTGACTTGTCAACAGATGCCGAACGTTTCGGTTAAGCTAAGCAGCGGAATAAACAAAACTGACCTAAACACATATCCTGCTATTGTCATTTATTCATTCATTAATGAACCCACATAAACTGATGTTTACACACAAACACACAAACTTCTGTCCTCCATGTCTATTAGGAGATCTATACTGACATTCATTATTAGAAATCTCGAAATCGCCAAGAGTTTTTCATCATGAATAAAATCTCTGAAACAGTTCATGTTGAAGATTTAACGCTACACTAAACAAATTCTACCGCCTAACTACTTATTTTGAAATCAACCTAGCGGGTGTTTTGATTTAAACACTGTTACACACCGATAGAAACTGAATGCTTTCCCCTTTGGTTATAGATCAATTCATTTGAAAAGACAGTCACCTGAAGGGATATTTTACTCAGTAAATTATGTTTCGCGTGTAATGGAATGATTATCTGAACATCGGATTAAGCTAGCAGGACGAAGTGGATTAAAACGTCTGCACAAGGACACTGGATATAAGTGGGTTCATCAATTGAATCCTTCCTCAGTGCTTTCTGCTTCTGTAGTTCACAAGAACATCAAAGGTTGGTCAGTAACTAAAAGGACGACTTATGTTATAGAAATATGGTATATGCATTTAAATATACATATAGGCGATGATATGTTATATTCCCAAAATACACTAGGCTATTAAAATACTAAGAATTTCTGATGCAGAAAGTATATATACCACCATAAACTATGAGATTGAAATTGTGAATGTTCAAATACCAAGATAATAGGATGAAACACCAGTTACAACCACAAACCAGAAAGATATGACAATGAAACTGGTAAACATAGATAGATAGATAGATAGATAGATAGATAGATAGATAGATAGATAGATAGATAGATAGATAGATAGATAGATAGATAGATAGATAGATAGATAGATAGATAGATAGATAGATAGATAGATAGATAGATAGATAGATAGATAGATAGATAGATAGATAGATAGATAGATAGATAGATAGATAGATAGATAGATAGATAGATAGATAGATAGATTGTTATTATATTTCACACCTTAAATTTGAAAGACTTTTGGCATCTATGTGTGTTAATATCTTGTACCATTTTTAGGTTTTTACACCAAATAACGGATCGTAATTTTACCTATACATGGCCACTGCACCCCAACAGACATCAATTATACATTCGGTTCTTGTATGATGTTTGAAATGATTTAGCACTATAAAGTTTTGTGTATTTTGTCTTTTCGTCAGTTCAAAAAGCTTAAGTAACATACAGTTTTAAATAAAATTTTAATGTAAAACAGTACGAATACAAAAAATGAGGAGCATCATTACAGTTTTACAGATGGTTCAAACAAATCAGGTAGGCGTCAATCTAAAACCTCAAGTCTATTACAACACAAAGGAAAAATAAGAAAATGTAGTAGACAACCGACAGTTTTACTTTCATTGACTTCAGATTAATGTATGATAAAATCTACATGAAGTCAGCTCATTAACTTCAGTTGCTAATCTCCGAAAATGGATAGTAAACGACTCGGATTTTGGATAAACAAACTCGGTAGAAATGAAACTGTATGCTTCTAACGTGTTTCAATATCCGAATAATAGGCTAAAGCGGCATCTGTATTATACATGTATGCGAAAATGAATTCCAGCGGGCTGAATCACAAATCAGAACGAAACTTTATCCAGCATACAGAGTGATATATGAGGCTTCAACAGAACATCTTTACTCTGCAGTCTTCTGTATTTGGCTTCACAACTGCTCACAAGCTTTTATTTCCTCTTTACATGATCTCCTTCATTTCATCCTCCGACATACTTGTAACTCATCGTTTCTCATTTCAGTTCCACTTGGGAGGCTGGTGCACCAGTACATGTGTGTGTATTTTCAAGAGTAATGTAACAATATTGTATAAATAAGACGATATATGATAAAATGAGATAGTTCAATAAAAATGAATAAACCCGAATTTTACAGTAGAATTCAGATACTTTAGTAGAGTAAAACTCCATATTGAACAGTTTTATCATATTGATGTGATTAAGACTTAAACTTTACTAATGATCATCCGCTGAATAACGCTGTGCCACTTTACGTTGTGTCAAAGAAAGTTATCTAGTCTGAAGTGAACGTCTTTTCCCTGCATATAGACCTATTTTGAATTGATCAGTTGAATGCTGTCACTTCTCATCAGTGGTGCTCATACAGCACTCGATTTCACTATCTAACTCATCCAGCTTTGTAAAGAAATAATAAGCAATGCCACACTGTCTAAAAACAAAATATAAGTTAACACCATCACATGCATCTAAGCAGCGTAAATGATAACCAAATCAATTCATTTAAATTGCCAGTGAAAAGTTAGTATTATAAACGAACGACAGATATTGTACATGGCCTGTTGAACCTCATTAGATCGAAGTGGACACGGTGGGTCTTCTTCTAAACTGCATTCTTATTTTTATAAAGTAACCTGTAATATCACCGGAATTGAAGAGCTTTAAAGTCTTCTCATACTGTGTGATAACCAGGCTTCCCTAAGGGAATACAAAAGACCTTTTGGTAATTTGCTGCAGTTTATAAGTCTAAATACTTTGTAGAGGCTGTCTAATTAGGACATATGTATGCTCTTTTCTAGACTTACAAAGCAAAGAGCTCGTCTCGGGTATTCGTGCTCCAATCCCTCAAGAGGAACCCAAATGGGATATGGTCAGTTGGGACTAGGTGAGAGGCTGACATGGGGAAGATTGTGTGAAGAGAAGATGGAAGCGTATGTCTAGTCTCCTGAAACCCACTGTTCCACTTCGAACCAAAGGGAATAATAATACCTAATTCATCACAGTTTCATAATCAAATCTTGAAGTATAAACGACAAAATCTAATCCGCTTCCTTCTGTGAAACCCTACTACATTTCTATCATAAAAATTATGTGCATATAATCGTACTTTCTTGAAATTTTTGTAAATCTGCTCATTCATTTTAATGTTTTCAATTTTATTTTTAGGAGCTTATAGCTTTTGGCGTCTCAAATACAATTAGTTCATTCTTTCATACATTCCCAGCATCTGCATCTTTGTCCAGATCTGCTGTGTTGGTCTCCGCCGGTGGACGTACACAAGTTTCCAGTCTATTTTCGTGTTTACTTCTTATTCTGGTGTTGTGTTTCATTGGCCCATTGTTTTACACAGTGCCTACTGTAAGTTGAATGTTCTTATACATAGCTGTCTGTCCCATTTATATGCTATTATGCATCTATGCAGCTCTAACATCATATTCGTGGAAGATACTTCCAACTAGATATACCAATTTTTATTAAATCAAAGTTAATCCTGAGAATTTCGATGAAATGGGGATTAAGTGGTAATTCGAAGACAAGATAGTAGCGTCAATCATTTCAGCAGCTATACAGTAGGTCTATGCTACATCTTTTCTAGATATTCAAGAGTGATCTAAACTTGTGCACCCGGTTCTACAAATAAACTAGAACAACTAGTGGATTACAAATAGGAATGACAAGTGGAACGAGTGAAACAATACCTGGGACAGTTCAAAGTGAGAATAGTAACAGTAACAATTGACGTGATAAAGGAAGAGTATACAAATTGAATAGACAAAATGAAAAAATTGGTAGGGCCAAAATATGATCAGGGATAAGTAGTGATATGGGCAAATTACTTTTTTACCTTGTAGATCACTTTAAAGGCGGAGGCTGTAGACATGGGATGATCATTATCGACCAGATGTTCAATGGTCGCGCTTCTTATTGCTTCACTTCCACCTCTTCGTAACCCCATGCAGGATAGTGTTCTTGCACCCTCTTAGACAAAACTCGAATCGAACAACCGATATAAGTAGCTCCACACGAGCAGGTGAACTGATAAACGCACATAAAGTTGGTCAGCTGCGGGATCTTGTCCTTCAAGTTATTGAAAAGTGATGGTTGACTGGTAGAGGCTATTCTCAAAGATGCAGCGGGGAATGTTCTTTTCAGGGACTGTGATATTCCTCTTTTCATGAAATTGGAAACTAAGTCAACTTTGAATTCCAAGCTCATGTACGGGGTTTTCTTGGGTACGGATGATAAGTCACATTTCATAGGATTTGAATGCATATTCTTGTCTATAAAACGTGGTGGAAATCCATTTTCTATTAGGATTTTCTTCAAAAGATTTAACTCATCCTCCACAGTATCAGGGCTACATATGCGCCGAATGCGAGTGGCAAGCGACTGGACTAGGTTTCGTTTTCGACCAATGGGTACTCAGCTGTAGAAATTTGTCAGTTGACCATTCCATGACAGCTTTCGATAAATCGATCTCTCCAGAGTTCCATCGGTCGTCCTTGATAAGTTCACATCGAGGAAATGAATGCTAGACTCGTTCTCCATTTCAAGTGTGAATTTTATCGCTGGATGGCAACCATTAAATGCATTTAATATATTATTCAAGTTAAAGTCACTATTATAAATAATAAAGGTGTCATCTACATACCTTTGATGCATTTGAAAGCTTTGGATTGTTGACTTCAACTAACCATTTTCTAGACTGGCTATAAAACAGTCTGCGAGGAGAGGAACTAGGGGATAACCCATTGCAATACCATCCTTCTGTTTGTAGATTGTTTCATTGAAAGCAAACTGTACATTCAGTGTACGTCTCAAAAGTAGTTCTTCCAAATCTGCAGTGGGTATCCCTATATTTAGCTTGTTGTCTTCAATATATTTGCATATAAAAAATAAAGCTAATAATTTCGTAAACCTTACGTATATAAAATCAAAGAAGAAGGGATAAATTCGATAATTTTTTGTTCTGCTCACATTTTGCAGCTGTTAAATCACATCACCATGCTTTTATTCATTCCTCTGCTTCTCTAGTAGAACACAGAACTTCAAACTCTGAAGTTCCAGTACCGCTGAAGTTGTTATTTTATGGGGCAAGGTTGCTAGTCTCAGGCCACAAATCTTCCATCTTTTCCAGACCCTCCAATGGTTAGCAAGCTAGTGGAGGTGTGGGAGTGCGCCAACCGAGAATCAAACCCCTGACAACATACGTGGTTAGCGAGCATTCTATCCTTGAACCATCAATGCACACTTCACTAACTAATCTGTTAAAAATAAATATATAATATGCATCACGATTCATTAATGTTCTTTTTCTTAACTTATAGTGTTGTCTGTCAGCCATCATTTTAGTTGCACTGAAAGGAATGTTTCTCGAGGCGAAGGATTTTATTACCTTTTGGAAATTCTCCCTATGGGACAGTGTAAGTTAGTCATGATTTATATCATCTCCGTCATTTATTTATTGATTGCTTGTTTCTTCAATAACAGTACTCAATGTAAGCCGTAATTGCTTGTTTCTGTCATATCCTTTTTTATTGTGTTACCCCGAATTCTCAAATCAGATTCATCTCTGTATAGAAATAAGATGTGTGTTATCATATGGTTAAAATTTATTACAACAGTCACAAGATGTTTCAAGAATACGTTCAAACCTTTAAGTAACTTGTTGAAAATTATCAAAGCTTAGGCTGTCGCATGAGGATACCTGTAGCAGTTAACTGAATTTATGTGTCTGGACTTCTGTCAAGGAACTTAAACCTATGTTTCTATTATTTGCGAAGACGCTCCAAATCGACAATTATAAGGTACGATTACTGACTTTAACTCCAAAACACAAGGACCAATACGAAATTATATTGTTTGGCAGTTAAATTCGTTATCGTACAAAGTCTATAAACAAATGTTTTACAAAGAGTGTATTGTACTTTTATTCGTATTCTTTCGTCTACTTCCTACTTGTACACGACTGAATCATTCGCGACTTCGAGTTGCCCGTCAGTGGCGACCATGGCCAACGAAACAACGTTCAGTATTCACGTTCATTTACAACTTCCTGTCCAGGTAGTTTCCTTAATTGCTTTCCCCTTTCTGCCTAACCTAATACCTAAATTGATATTTTCTTACAACGTCTGCAACGATTAAACAAGCTGATACATTTAAATGTCTTTTTAAATAAACATAAGAACTACTGTAAGCTTTGCTAATAAAGCTGTTGACAGTAAATGTTAATATTATGATTCTGACCACTTTAATAGATGCTACAGTGTTATTAAATCTAATTCTCAATTTGCATATTAATGTGCGATTTGCAATTTACACGATCTGCTATTTAGATTAATTCCATCTGGCTAGCAAGTACTACTAGTTGATGTAAATAGTGTCGAACTACTTATATCAGTCAACCAGTAATATATGGCATTATACATTTATGCTTGCCTTCTTGATTGCCATTTATGGTATCAAGCAAATGATGTACTTTGATGCAAATTATTTTGGTTTCCAAAGTGAGCTGTGTTGTATTTTCCCCTCGAACTGAGTAAATAGTGAGTCTCTTCTTAATTAGAAAGCATGATTTGACGTGTTAGCAGTTCCTATAAGTAGCTAGCTATAAATCGGGTGGTGTGTACTGACTCGGCTTTTCGGTTCAACACCAGTGTTGTGCCCATCCCAGAGAAGAGTGAAACAGGCACCCGGTGTGCTGATCACTTCGATCTGGCTGGGCTAGAAAGCCTTTCTGGTTGGCGAGTGAGTGGTGTCCAGTTACTCGTATTAATCAATCAGTAGTATATAACTGCATTGTTATTCTATAGAATTTGGAGTTTTATGGAGATGACAACTTCATACAGCGATCAACTAAACTTGTGGATCTTTTCCTACACCTAAAAATAACACAGAGATTTGGTTAAACGCCCAATCTAGTCATTACCCGATAATTCACCTTTTTTCTCTACCGAATAGAATATACTCTATTTTCAGTGCGTTGATATATAAAGAAATCTTTTGTCTGTCTGGGTTTGTCAGTGTACTGAATTAGGTGACTTCTTGTACCTCACATTCTGGTTCTTTACCGAAAGATGTTTTCAACTCCACCACAACTTCTACTTTAGTGTATTTAACCTGATTCCTTGGTAAATAGATAAATAGGAATTCATGACCAGAAGGGTATAGTAGGTCGGGTGTGCGGAAAAATACTCGCCTTCGATAACATTGGCTAGTGGTCACGCTATATCGTGAATAGGCAGAAGCTGGAATTCATGGGTTGGCCATTGGATCGTGTCCTAGTGGCTTAGTGGTCTACGAACTCGCCTTACAACCTGAATGTGGGTGAGTACTGGTGAAGAGTTCCAAACAAGGCCGAAACAGCTGTCTGGTAGTACTTCCAGATGGTTTTCGAGTGGTTCTCTAACCAATAACAGTTCATAATGAAATCCTGTAACTAAGTAGGTTACATTAGACTAGCTGTTACATGGTTGGAGACACTTTTCAGTCAGGCTTTGTTGACCTTCGTCCATGACTACCTGTCAACTGCCTGCAACCGCCTAAAAATAATGCAGATTTAACCATGATGGTGAGCCATTTAACCTGGTGGTCACATTGCAAACATGACTGATATAATTCAGTCAAAATCAACAATTAGGACTAATCAGTGTACTAAAATAGCTACGTGGTGATGTTTTCCACCATTTTTCTCAATAAGTGATTAATTCTTTTAGGTGGTATAATTCTACCTCAAATTTCATAAATGTCATGGTTATCAATATATACAGACAGAAAAATTAGTTTGATAGTAGAAAGATGTAAAGAATGATTCCAAATGCGCCTGGAGTTGTTATCGTAGAAAAGAAACATAATTTAGCTGAAGAAATACATGCCAGTTGTAAGAAATAAACTATTTGTTAAAGAGAAAGCGGCGTCATGTCATTTATCGCGGACATTTAAGTTAAATAGGCACATGCTGAGCTGTAATGTGCTAATGACAAGTTTCTTAATCAACAATAATAGTCACAGCTTGGAAATCTTAACAGATACTGTTATCTTTGTCAAAAGCTGTGAAGCGATAGTTACCTATTGTCTCTTGATTATCAGAGAATATTAATTTAGGAATGAAATTTGACATTATAGCATAGAGTTTCGCTACCATGAAATTGGGCACTTTTGGCATTATAATAACACTCGATATTGAAGATCAGATAGCCGGCCAAAAGATGATAAGGGCCACCAAGGGACAGTGGCAGCAGACCAACTAACAACCCATCGCATGTAAAATCTGCAGAAGGAAATACACTTGAACCGGAAATGTGCTGAAGAGGCGTGACGAGGGATTTAAAAAGAAAACTTCACTGAAGCCTTTGGATTGAAGACAGGAATAAGACAAGGTTGCCTGTTATCACCGATGATATTTCTAACTGTGGTGAACTGAATCTTACAACATACCATGGGTAGGGAGAGAGAAGACAGACTTAAGTTGGAGCTGCAAGAAGGCACTAGAAGATATGGATTTTGACTAATGTCTAATATCGTACAAACTTGAAGATCTACAAAACAAAACAAGAAGTTGGCAGAAGAGGCCAACAGTGAAGACAAGACTTCAAGCAGACATACAGAATACAGGAATGATAAAGACGATGATACCCAACCAACAATAACAAGCATCAGTTATCATCAACGGGAGAAATCGCCAGGCAACCACCTCCTTCACTCGCCTACTTGCTCAGTATTGTATCGACTATAGGCAGTTGGCACAGATGAGGATTTCTTTGGCAACCAGAAAAATGGAGAAGCAAGGTAGACCTTAAATACACTGAAATCATTGTAAGTAGAAATCTGCTGCACAGTAAACAAGATCCAGATTTCCAACATTAATGCTAGTCAAGCCAGTTTTTTTGTAAGTTTCAGAGAGTTGGCGCTCTACCGAAAGCATTTTCAACAACCCACTGCAATCTTTCATCAGCAACTGCCTTATCTCCATATTGAAGATTGGATGACCGGAAAGAATTAGCAACAATGAACTCTGGAAAGCAATGGACCAACCAACAACCTATCACCCAAAAGATATGCAGAAGGAAATGGAGATGGACTGGACACACGATGAGGGGCAGCCGAGAGACATTAAGTACCAGGATCCTAGAGTGAAACCCAAATGGTAAACAATGTGTCGAGTGTCGGTCCGAGTGTGAAATGAAGGATGTCGTGTAGAGAGGAGATTGAATCTTATGGACAATCGTGAAATCGAAATGTGCTGGCGAAGCCCACTGTTTGACACGAAACCCAAGAGAACGATAAAATAGTAATGGAAGTTTGGAATATAATTTTCTTAAATTCTGATCAATTGAGATAGGTTCATCTCTGTGTAATTAATCTAGATCTCAGTCAATAACGATATCAGTCCAAATAATGTCAACACATATTCATAAGTAATGCAAATTAACTAACTGACGATAAATTTTATGATTATTACTAGTATTATTATTATTGTAATATTTCATGTATACTATTCAAATGTGAGCCCAAATGTTGTTTTTCCTTTCTTCTACTTTCAGTTAGTTTGGTTAATAACGTTTTTATGCACTGTATTTCTGAGTGTAAATTATGGTCTTCTGTTGGGTGTAATCGTCTCAGCTATTTCAGTTATATTAAGAACACAATGGCCAAAACTCAGAACACTTGGACAAACTCCAAATACAGAAATTTATCAGGATTGTAAACAGTATAACAATGTATGGTTACGTTGTGCAGTTTTCTTTTGTTGTCTAATCTTACCTAATGTGTTTTTACTCATTATTTGGTCAAAACATTAAAAAAGCCATTCATCTAAGTTTTGCAATCGCGCAACACATTCTGAACAATCCGATCACACATAAGAATTTAAATAAAAATAATTAAGCGTCAAGGAGTTAGAGAATATTCATAAAAAATTCCCATTCGAACATTAATGGATACAAGACAAGTAGTTCAGCGAAGAGTCTCTTTTCGGAATTCGCCGTATAATAATTTTCAACTTGATATGAAAGTTTGAAGGTACGAATATAGATTACAAGGGGCGTAGAGACAAGATTGCATAGGATTAGAAAACAGTTCCAACGTATGCAAAATTAATATTTGATAACTGGAGAAATAATTTTAAAGGCGAATGAAAGGTGATAATTATTTTCAACTTGATATGAATTACAAGAGGCTTAGAAACAAAAGTTACGCAGGGATAGAACGAATTACAGGTGTGAACAAAATGAGCATGGAAACAAATTGAAATCAAAATTTTTCAACTTGAAATGTAAGTTAGGAGGTGTGAATATAGATTACAAGAGGCATAGAAACAAAAAATTACACAGGATTAGAATATAATTGTAAAATGGTTATTCTAAACGGATTACAAGTGTGATCAGGAGGAGCATGGAAACAAACTTAAAATAACTGATTTTATAACTGAAAAAAATGGGATGAATTGAATGAAGACAAAGAGAGAAAATTACACACACAGAGAACAAAACAAAACAAAAAACTGAAGGATAAGGGAACATACCGAACTAGGTCCATGGTAGTTGTAAAGGCTGGACTAGTTTCTTTTGAACACATAGCTCCGGCTTTTCGATGCATATGGCGAGAGCTTCCGCAGTACAAAGAAGTCGGAAACACACTGCCTTTGGTAGATTTTTGTTTACTTTGTAAATGACTCTGAATGATGAGTCAGTTGAGATTCTGTGACAGGTATTGACGAGGTGTTCAGTTATGGCGCTTCTGACTGAACCAGTGCCTCCTCTTTGCAGCCATGCTGGATAATGTTCTCTAACACGTTTTGATAAGACCCGCATAGAACGACCTATGTACCTAGCTCCGCAAGAGCAGGTGGACTGATATATGCACATTGGAGTGGTTATATGCGGAAGTCTCTCCTTCCCTTTGTTCCGAAGTAGTGGGTGGCTAGAGAATACCACTCTTAGAGTTGCTGCCGGAAAAGTCTTCTTCAGGGATATCTGCTGTTAGGTCTCCCCTGAATTCCAGATTCAAATAAATTGTTTTCTTTAGCATTGAAGTGTATTCTTCTCTTTTTGGTCTTGGTTTCATGTTCTTCTCCACGAAACGCTGTGGGTGTCCATTTTGAACCAGGATGTTTTCGAGAAACAGGAGCTCTTCTTCTAAACAGTCATCGCTGCAAGTTCTTCTGGTATGGTGGGCTAGCGAGATGATGAGAGCTCTCTTACGGCTGATAGGTATCCAACTGTAGAAGTTTTTCAGTTGCCCATCCCATGTTGGTTTTCTATGCATAGATCTTTCCAAAGTTCCGTCATCTCTTCTTGTCAATTCGACGTCTAGAAATGGAATCTTTGATTCATTTTCAACTTTCATTGTGAATTTAATTATATTGTATGAAAAATATGATTTCCAGTATTTATTTCCTTCACTTCTTATATGAATTACTTTTTATTTCAGTGTACACAATATGACCAGATTAAAATTATTCGTTATGAAGGAAACTTGTATTATGTTTGTGCTGAACATTTTCGTGAAGCCGTTTATCAGCAGACAGGAGTAAATCCAGTTGATATTTATGCAAGAGTCAATAAGTATATGAATAAAATAAAAGGAATTGAAAAATCTCTATGCAATAATCTACCTGGAACTACTGATGCTGAACCTATCCAGTCAACTGCGAATTCAAACGCTGTCAGTAAACTCAACAGAAATCTCAGTGATCAAGATACACGTTAGTTTGGATAATGATGTGCATTTCTTTCTTGCCGTTGAATATTTTATAATTTTTTAGCATGAGGGATAATCTATGTCTCGAAATTTAGTCATGTTTTCAAGCATCTATGTAGTTTCTTCGATGTATTCTATTTTCTAGCAATGGGAAGGAACGTAAAATTATCATTATTATTATTATTGTTCCCTTAGGTTCCGAGAGGAATACATGGCTTCAGCAACACATAGCAATTTCACTGTGTTCTTTGAATTCCTCGTTATCTAGTACCACAACTGCTCACAAGCCTCCATCTTCCCCCACTCCTCTGCACACAATCTCCTCCATTTCACACTCGGAAAAACTTCCTACTTTTCGTTTCCCATCTGAGTTCCACTCGAGGGCATGGCGTGTAGTGTCACTCAGTGGTCTCCTCCACATATGTCTGAAACATCTCCATTACCTTCGACATATCTTTTGGGCAGAAGGTTCTTGGTTGGATCATCACTAGAGATCCTTCTTACTAATCCTTGCCAGCTGATCGACAGTATCAAACCATCAAAGGTGACTGCTGAAGCCTGTTAGGAATGCTTTTGATGATGCGCCAAGTCTTTTTATCACACAGAAGAACTCACATATTCCTAGCACCTCTTTACCATGTCGTTTTGATTCTTTGGCAATCTAAGCGACCTTTCCAGCTTGAAACATCATGTGAACACCCCATGTCCCTAGAATTATTTTTGCTTTCAACTGCACTGCATGCATTAACACACAACCACACAATAAGGTGGGGGAGGTTTGAAATTCTAATAACTAATATAGGTAGATGGAGAGGTTGATTACTGAATCCTTGTTCATGACCGTCATGAGCGGTGAGGACATATACTCGCTGACATTCGCTAGTAGTCGCGCCACATCGTGAATTGCCAAGATTTGAAATTCATGGGCTGACCATTGGATCGGGTCCAAGTGGCCTAATGGTCTATGAGCTTGCCTTATCACCAAAAGGTCCTCGGTTAGAACCTCAGTAGGATGGGTGCGTACTGCTGAAGAGCCCCAAACTAGGCTGATGAAACAGCTGTCCAGAACTCCAGGATTTTCCAATGGTCCTTTAACCGATTTCAGTTCATGATGAAATCCTGAAACCAATAAAATCCCTACAAACCCACACTTGAACATTCGTTATTTAACTTTCTACAAAAAACATTATGAAATTAGGATTTTAGATGACAATTATGTAAAAGAGGGCACATTACTCGAGAAACATTCCTTTTGTTGCCATGGAAGTTTACCGATCTTACTCGATTTTACAGCTTGAGAATGACGTTGTCAGAAAGGGCAACTCTTCGCTGATTGCCACTCCTTTCAAATAACCCAATGAGAATTTTAAGAAGCCTCGACAACCTCAAAAAACAACTATTAGTGGCGAATTAAGCAATGACAGCTGCCTGGAACCTCAGGTCACATGTCTTAGTTCAAAATTTATTGCCTTAAGTATGTGAATAAGGATTTTTATATCAATCTGGACTTTAGCGTTTATTGATATTTAAGTAACATGTCATTTGCATTCGTCATGTAAACAACTTTATGATATCCTTTAACCAGTCACTTCCATCATCGATACACATTTATTTTGCTTATTTGCTTCATTTTTTCATAGTTCCTGATAAAAGTCCAAATGGACACTCTGAGCAATACAGAGTGCAAAATTTACCTGAATCAACCGCAAAGAAGAAAAACCCTCTGCATCATTTTTTAAGTAAAAAACCGTTAACACTTGAGGAGAAAGTGAAGTTGGAAGTTAAAAAGAAAAAAATTACAGAAAAATTAAGATTGGTTAATCAATCGTTAACATTTAAATTTTTAATAATCGACTGTTCATGTTGGACATTTATCGATATTGTTGGGGCGGATGAATTGAAACAGGTAAGCTGAAAATGTAAATCAAAAGCACTGTTAAGCACACTTCAGGCACTGTATATATATTTATATATATATAATCCCCTTAGATTTCCGGCGGAATATGGGACCTCTTCTCTGAAGTCTGTTTTCCACACCTTTTCATCTCTTCTTCACATGAATTCCTCCATGTTACACTCAAATCAGTGCCCAGCTTATCGTTTCTCATTGGTATTCCACTTGAGGGCGTGGTGCGTCATGTCCTTAGCTTGTCCTCCTTAGATTGCATCTTATCCATCTATATTTCCCTCCACGTATTTCTGGAGGCAAAATTTTCTTGAACACACTGATTTCAGAGTAAAGAAAGTAGGTCTTACTTCGCTAACCCTCTCTGGCTTTGCCATTTTCATCCATGTAGCCTGCAGGGATGCCGGTTAGGTAAGTAAAATAAATGCCTTCCTTCGAATTTCTTCTATCGACATTGATTTGTGTCTATTGCTGTGAGTCAGGTATCTTTAAAACCTCTGTCTTCGCTATATTTACTTGTAGTAGTGCCTTTAGTGTCTCGTCTGCCAATTGGTTGTTTTTCGCCTACAGACCTTCGAGTTTGAGGGACATTAGAAACAAATCGACTTCGGTGACTCAGTCACAGAACTCTCACCAACCACGGACAGGTTCCGGCGCTCGATCTCCCGTTGACATGCTCCTAGAAGTCACTTAGCCAGTAGTATGCCGCGTAAAGATAGAGAGTTGGCTAGTGAAACTTCAAAGCTCACGTTTGAATTCCTACGTTTCACTAGGAATGCAAAGAAATCAAACAATAATAACAGACACTTATCATCCTCGAAGTCCAGATCTTCTGGAGTCTTCTTGTCAGTCGAACGCATTCCAGTCTTTTTGCTTCCCACAGCCTGTCGCATGGTCCGGTCCACCACAGTCAGGAATATCATCGGTGATAGCAGGAAACATTGTCGTACTCCTATCTTCACACCGATTTCTTCACTGAGTTTTCTGAATGCGAAATATATGCCCTTAGACTTTTCGAAGTTCCATTAGCATTTATTTTTGCCTCTTTAAGGATGACATTGCTAGCCTCATACATAACCTTTTCCTCTTCCTGGCTTATTACCTTCTCGTTAAGTAGATAAGCTTTAGGAGCGAGTTGTCTGGAATCGAACCCTGATCCCGTTCATGGTTTGTCAAGTATTCTACCAGTGAGTTCCCCACTCAAATTAGCGTGCATAGGTTCAGTTGTTTCAGTTTTCAAATGGCTAGTCATTGTACAAAAAGAAGAATGTCTTGATGTCAAAATCAAATCTCACCTACAAGGATAAATGTTAAGACATACAATCTTCTTAATTAGCCATGAAGTTCTCATTTATGCATGTACTGACATGATAACCTCATTGGACAGTTTTGATTCGTCAATTTATGGCTCAATTTTCTGAGGTCAAACAGCCAATCAGGTTTGTTTATTTGTCCCTTACATTTCTGAGGTTTTTCTAATATGAGTTATCATATGTTTTGTTTAATATAGATTGTTATTGTTGTTGTTCCGGTCATCCTTTGTCTCAGCTGCAGATATTTTCAGTTGGTCAGTTGATTATAATGGCGTGTTCTGGAGGAGCATTCTAACGAAGTTAGACGAACCCACAAAGTAGTATCACTCCGTCATCGTAATTAATTTCATAGACTCATAGTGACAAAACAAAAATATGTTATAAACAAGAAATTGAATGAGACTTGAAATTTTCGCCTAACTTTTGAACTAGACGAAATAATTTGCCTTTTGATAGATAAATCAAATAGCTAATACATCTCATTCCCTGACTAATATTCCGTTTTTTTCTGCCTATATCTTGTATTTAGGTTATAGATAGTTATAACAGATTGGGTGTTACAGTTATGATTGCTCAAATGAAAGGTATGTTAAGCACAGTGATGCAACTATTTTGTTTCTTTGTAGCTTTACAATTTTAATACCAATATTCTTAGGTTAAAACCCAAGAGCTTTGACTTCGATCGCGGACTGACATGAGTTAGAGAATCAGTGAAAAACCAGATGGTACTGGACAATTATTCACTTATGAGCAGTGTATAAATCGTTAAGTTTAGGCTTACAGTGATCTGATTGATCACCGACAACAATGGTTGGCAGTTGTGTTATACAGCGAAACGATAACAGTTAGAATTCGTGAGTCATTCCAGTGGCTGAGTGGTCATCATGCATGACTCGCAATCCGGAGGTCCTTGATCGCAGACTCACCGGCGTCATGGTGGTATCCTATTGAAGACTCCTAAACGAGAACGAAACGGCTGTCCAGTACTTTAAAGCTCTCTAACTGATGTCAATTCGCGATCTATGCTGAAGCCAACCAAGTCCTTCGAAACTAACAGTTAAAAAGCAAGCGTTCTGATTATAAAATTGATTCAAGTGTGTCTGTTTCAGGAATTGTACCCCCTGGAGAATCACCAACTCTTTTCATCAGCGTTACACTGTTGTGACATTGTAGTACGTACTATCATGTTGGTCAAAAGCTTTCTTCTTTCAAAAGGTTGATTAGTGAACAAAGAATATTCTTTTCAATAACTTCATCATCAGCTTCTACAGTTATATATCCATTATAATGATAGAATGATTGTTATTGACAAAATTAGTGGTTTTCAAAATAGTAACATCGAATAATTTAGATCAGACTTCAAAAATTTATTTGCAATTAGATTGTTTTGACCAGTTGATCACAGACTGATATCAGTCCTAGTGGCTGAATGGTATACGAGCTTGCCTTGTAACCGGAAGGTCCTGAATTCCAACCCCAGTGGGTGCGTACTGCCAATGATTCCAAACTAGGATGAAACAGATGTTCAGTACTCCAATGCTGGTTTTCAATGGTTCTCTAACTGATATCAATCTGTGATCAACTCATCGGTGGCACAGCGGTTAGGACGCCCGCCGACCGTGCACATGGTCCGGGGTTCGATCCCCGGCCGACGCACACTCCATATCAATGGTCGGCCTGCGAAATTTGGGCTACCGATATGGCATACTGAAAATTCCATACTTGTATCAAAAACACTGTGTGGAATCAAGCTATCATAAAATTCTAAAAAATTAAAAAATAATCCTTACAAACCAACTACTGAAAGTTGGAGTGTTAATAGATTATAGTTCAATACTCAAGAACTGAAGGATCAGGATACAAAGGACATCTTCACTGCAAGCATAAGGGAAAAAGCCGAGACACAAATCAGCACTAGTGAAGAGGTCAGCGTCGAAAAGCGCTGGAACGACTTGAAAACGGTGTGTAGTCAAACCTGCATGGAAGTTCTAGGCAAGAAGAAGAGACAGGATAAACAGTGGCTCAATACAGACAAATGGAGACTAATAGAAGAGAGAAGGATGGTGAAACAAAAGATTATCCAGTGCATCGACGAGCAACAAAAACAGGATTTGAATGCAAACTACAATACACTGAAAATAAGAGTTAAGAAGTGTGCCAGGGAAGATAGAAAAGAAATATTATGAAGCTATTGCATAATGCTTAATGAATTGACCTGCATTTTCATTTCGCTTCATTTATATCCCAAAATAACTCAGAAATGCCAAATAAACTTAGCAGTCTGGTAATTGTGAACGCAACATGCAAGACACCAACAAATTTCTAAAATCATTTGTGATATTAAAAGAAATTAGTTGTGTGAACCAAAAGATGTATATAACTAACAAGAGTTGTTTAAAATATGCCCTCAGGTTGTAACGACAGAAGACAAGGGCGAGGAAACAGATCCTCTATTGATAAGATCAACAGATATTTATAGATTTTATGTACATTATTATTCATTATTGTTAGCAGAGAAGCAAAGTCTTCTAATTGGTTGTTTTCCTGTTGAAGGTTATTCTGTCATCTCTTTATGGCCGTTTCTTAGACAGTCCGGTAATATATATATATATCTTCGAATCGTATCCGCCCTCGCTAAGTCTGCTGTGATTGGTTGTTGATTTCCTCAAGGTTAGGCTTTGTTCTCGTTTATTTTTCTCATGACCCCGATATGGGACGTAAACACTCACAACAAAGTAACTCCGAAACGAACCCCGTTACAAACACTAAATGATATTTTATATGAAGCCAGGGAGGACGCTCTGACAGATCGGCATTTTGTCATAAAAATTTGCAGAAATAGTATGACTTTTCACAGACCATAAAGGTCCAGGTATCCCGAATGTAAATGAGAATGAGTAGAAGAATTTAAACACTAAGTCTTAGATAGAAATGAGTTGTTATAATGTAGAATTGACGAAAAAGCACTGTTCACTTACACTCCTGACTTAACCGTATTATAAGAAGACGCAGTTCTCATACACTGATCTCATCGAGTTTCAACTATTTCTTTCCCTTCTCAGGAGGCTCAGATACAACCACAGCTTACTGCTCAGTCTGAGTATTTACGTTAAAAATCCTATACAGATATTAAAAACTGCTTTATTTTCCATACTTCTTTTTTTGGAAATTTTAGATAGCCTTATCAGTACATTGAAAAACAATAAAAAATTTGCCGATTCAACTGCAGTCTACCCAACTGTTCATGATGCCGTCTGTGATGCGCTGAGCAGACTGCAGACAATGGAAGTTGTAAAAAATAATGTTATCAAAGTGGACAGTAATAAAAGTGTTACACCACAGAACAATACATTCAGCTTTGTTGATGTCATGCTGACAGACATTTCGCGGAGGTCGTCAACTAAAAATAGAACAAGATCTTTATCAGTCAATTCTTCACAAATCTATACTGATACACAGGTTTAATAGCTCTCTCTCTCTCTCATCGTTCACAATCAAATTTATTAAGTGATTTTATATTATGTATATTTTTTTGTCAGAATTTTGATTCCTTTTGTATAAATTGCCTTGAATGTTATGTACAATATAATTTTAACCTATAAAAAGCAAATATGAAAAACACGATAACCAAATTGAAACGTGATTGCTTCCAGTGAAGTGAGAAATTCGAAATTACTCAACATATGTCACTAAAAATAAAACTACCATATGAAGTAACTTTTACAGTCCAAGTGTTATTTTTCAAGTAGATAAACCTTGTTTGTTTTTCTTGGTATTTCTAAAACCCAGGGTAAAGGTAAAAGTAAAAGTCTGAGTTCCCTCCTTGTGGCCTTTACAGAACGAGTACTCTTTGTTCAGTATCCATTCTTTCGAAATGGAGTTATTTTCCCAACGGTCAACAGTTATTGAACGTCAGCATTTATGTATTGTCGGGTAACTGACAACGTGAATCGAAATATTTAAAGTTGATTCAAACAAATCCCTATAAAAATTAAAACAAAATACCTTGGTTGTTACGATAATAAACACGTAGCAAAGAAATGATCTTTAGTAGTCAAACGAATTAAATCTCTTAAATTATAATAATAATAAAAATATAATAGCAAATAGAATATCAAATAAAATTAAGGAAATTTCCACAGCAAATGGACGATCATTAAAACCTTGATGTCCAAGGTAAAAACAATGAAAAGACAGTTGCAGCGAAGAAAATTTTCTTTTCGACGAAGTCATCATCTAGGCTGTACATTCGTGTATTTATATCAAATGGATGGGAAAGTTCCAGAACAATTACTGGTTAGGGGTTCAATTAATGAAAATTACAATTAGGAATTAGAATGCCATAATAAACAGGGGGATGGGTAAAACTAAAACAAGGTAGCATAATAACTAAGAAAATTGACATTGTGCAATTGGGGTTAGAAATGTAAAAATAACAAAATATACAGGATGTTTGGATAAGAAACTAATGTGATGAATAATAGTTTTAATAAAAATTACAATTAGGAATTAGAATGCCATAATAAACAGGGGGATGGGTAAAACTAAAACAAGGTAGCATAATAACTAAGAAAATTGACATTGTGCAATTGGGGTTAGAAATGTAAAAATAACAAAATATGCAGGATGTTTGGATAAGAAACTCGTGTGGTGAATAATTGTTTATGCAATCAGGGATTAAATATGTAGAGATAATAAAATGACAAAATAAACAGGAAGTGTGGATATGAAAATATGGTAGTGTAGACAGGGATTAAGAAAACTTAAAATAACATGAATAAACAGGAAGTTAAGATAAGAAAGGCGATGGGATGGTCATTATTAAAAAATTTACCTGTTTACGATGGCCATGGCAGGGACAGGGGTTGAATGTATTTCTTTTGGATACAAAGGGTGGGTTTGAGTTTTTGGATAGCTAACGCCTCAGCTATGCCCAAATGTCTTGATTTCACTCCCTTTGGTAGGTTTGGTTGAATCTTGTATATTACTTTGAAGGACTTTTCGAAAGGCGCTGAATGTCCTGAGTTGACCAGATGTTCTGTCACTGAACTGTTTACACGTTTTTGCTCTCCTTTTACCAGCCAGGCTGGGTAGTGTTCACGAGCGCGTTTTCCAAGTTGGCGCATGGTACGGCCGATGTACTCAGCTCCACAAGAGCAAGTGAACTGGTATATGCATGTTGAGGTGGCCCAATGCGACAGCTTGTCTTTCGCGTTCTGGTTGAATAGTTTCTTGCAGGAAAATGTCAGTCGTAGGCTTGCGGCGAAGTATGTTTTCCTCAGCGATTTGGAGAGGCGTTTGCGAAGGATTTCTGCTTCGATATCACCTTTGAATTCTAGATTGAGCAGAAGTATTTTCTTTGGGACCGATTGGACTTGTTCTGAAGTCTTCTTCGGTTTGAGATTCTTGTCTATGAACCTGGGCGGGAAACCGTTTTCCATGTCTGAACTAGCTTCTTTTGGATACATAAATTAGGTTTCTTAATGTAGATCCCCACAGTCTCAGAAATGTGTGCTAGACGAACTCTTAAGGTAAAGTTAAGATTAGTTGGTATGCGGTAGATGACTTTGAAAGCTTCGTTTCCACCATCCTTGTCTTCCGTATCTACAAGATGAGGTAGAAAAGCGCTATGAATGCATTTTGTTTGTCCTTTACTTAGTCACGTAGGGTGATGTTCGGAAATCCGACGATAGACACGCCTAACTGTTTGGTCTATGTAACTGGCTCTACAGGAGAAGTCGAACTGGTGGATACACATAGAAGAGGCGAAATTATGCAGTTTTTCCTTCACTCCCGAACGCTTAAGTCAAAGCTTAGATTCCCTGGTATGCGGGAAATGACTTAGAAGTCTCTTATGGTGGAATGAATTAAATAGCTTTTGTGCATCTATAAGCGTTTTGATAACTGATGTCTCAGACGCACGAACTGAGTACACAAATTGTTTGACAGGATGAAATAACTTCCTGCTAGGAGAATTATGAAACCACTGGTGAATAAATCATGTCATGGTTGTCTTCCCATTCTGTTAAACAGAGGTGAAATATTCAAGTTGAAGAAAACTTCCGTAGAATTCAAAAATGGGAATGTTTATTCACTTGATATGAAGAAGTGAATGAATATGACTGTGACTAAGAACACGTTAAATTTCTGCTGACTGAAAACTGCGCTTCATTTAACTGGGCTAAAGGCACATTCTAAGCGTTTCTTTTAACGACACACCAGAAGTTTTCCAAAGTTTTCTTTCGACAAGACACAAAGCTTTTAATATTCTCAAACTTTTAGTTAGAATCTCAGAACAACTTGATTAAATATAACACTTTAGAGGCTGACGGTGTAACAACAGAAGACAAGGGCCAGACAACAGATCGTTTGTTAAGGAAAATCAACACATATTTATAGATTTTAATGTACATTATTGTAGATTATTGTTAGTAGAAAATACAGTCTTTTGATTGGTTGTTTCTCACAGAAAGTTAATCTTTCATCTCTTTGTAGCTGTGTCAGATCATCCACATGCCGCTAACTGTATCCGCCTACGCAAAGCCTTTGTTTTCATTTTCTCACCACCAATATTGGGGACATAAACATTGACGTCAATCACTGTCTTCCCACTTTGGCTAGCAGCCAGCTCTCACCACAATGGTATTGACGTTCGCGTATTGCAAGGAGTATACGTACGCAAGATCTAATACCCACAACTTCTATAGTATTTGTTCCGCTTAAACAAAAGGCAAAACAAAACACTAGAATTGATCGGCCAAATTACGAGATATATTTTGGCACCAAATGGGAGTGCGAGATGATTGCTTAGCTGGCTAGAGATCGTGTACGAACGTGACACGACGGAGTACCAAATGGTGTGGATGCTTGACCGGAAGCCTTCAGCTAAACAAGTGAGGCTAAGCATCCAATGTTCAGTGATGATTGCTGTGGTCAATAATTTTGGGGAATTATTTACCGCTGCAACACGCTACGGAGTCCAGAAGAAACTGCAGTATTTATTTCACTTTAATTTGGATAAATATTGCTGCTTTAATCCAAATACTCAGGAAAGATGATAAAAACCGTTTGAAAGGTAGTAAAAATGTCGCAATAAAGGTGCCATTTGCAGTCTTTCACTTAGTTTCTGAGTGCTGCTCTTGAACTGTGGTCTGTTTCTGGATTGTTTGAAGGCTTTTGGCTCCATCTTTAAGATTCAGTGAACCAGAAAATGGTCCGGGCCCTCACTCGCTCCCCTTTCCGACTACCTGTCCAGCTAGCTGTATCTCCACTTTCTTGAGTTCAACATCAAATCTGTCTGATTTTCAGCGTGTCCATCACACGAAATCCATGTTTTCTTGTGTTTGTTCACACTACTAGCAATCCACAAATAATTCAGAGCAGAGAAGTATGCGAAGAGATCACTTTTCTTATTCATTTCACCGACAGCCTCCTGTCAAATGATGAGTTCTCTTCATGTGTTGTCCATTCCTAGTGAGGCAATTGCTTCACTCACTAGGATTTCGATGTAATCCTTCTGGGCCTTGCCCGTCATGGTTTGCATTTGCATGCAAAATTCTTCTTTCTTCACTTGATATAGATTTCTTCTAGGAGCGTAGCATAAGATGCCTGTAAATGTCCCTCCTTTATCTTTATTTTTTTGTTTTTATTTTTGATTACAGCTTGATGCCACACCGTATTTTCAGTACAAGTATGGAATTTTCAGCATGGATATCGGTAGCCCAAATGTTACAGGCCGACCATGGATATCGGGTGTGCGTCGGCAGGGGATCGAACCCCGGACCATGTGCATGGTCGGCGAGAATCCTAACCACTGTGCCACCGACGCACAAGTTGAATCTTGTTGTATTATCCAGCAGGAGGAGTTGGTTCCAAATGCTTTAGAGCTTTTTGTGCCATTAGTGACATCATAATAGCCGCTTATTCAGTGTGCTCATAGTTACTGTAGCAGTTATCTGAGTAGATCACTGAATCCCCAGTTGACAGTCTGCAGGGTCCACACCAATTCCTTTTACTTTCACATATTTTTAGCAACTCTGTTCTATATTTTCTTATTTTTTCGGCGACCTGAGCGGCCTTTCCGGCCTCTGCATCCATCGAAAAAAGACACAGGTTGAAAGGATTCCGGAATGATTTCGCCACCCTGCTTCATATCACTGACCTGGTTTGTGTGAAGGACGATTTTGTTTTTCACATATGTTGCCCCTTGAAGTTTCTTAGCTCCTGTCATGTCCACTTTTGTATTTTGCGATACGTTTAATTATATAGTGACGCTGAGATAGAAATGGACATGGTTATCAAGAATATCGCTGGCCTAACGCCATAAACCCTGTGTAATGGCTACCTGTTTCCCTGCATGCTGTATATAGGCAAGAACACACGACGATGTGAGTCGAAAAGTATATTTCAGTATTAGGCAAAGCATCTTTACAAAAGGAAACCGCCTGCTTTAATCACTGGACTATCTGAATTTCAATCCAAGATGATCCGTTTTATTTTCTTTAGTTCTGCTTGCTATGATCATCCAGTTACATCCGTGGTTCGCCAAATGTACTCATGCGCATTTTATTTGGTTTGCAACCTCTACTGTTGCTCAGTTCCGGGGGACCAAACAAATACCATGAAGGATTGTGCTATTTTTCAAATCTAACATCACTGTGTTACATGATGAACTTGTAGTGACCCGTTTTATTACTCATCATCGCAATATACTTTCATTGTGTAATTGTACTTCGATTTGTTTATTAC